AAGGGTGGTAAAAAGAAGGGAGGAAAGAAGGGTGGTGGTAGAAAGCACCGGTAAAAACATCTGAACTGAAAGAAATGAGTAAGTCAGGAAGCAGATGAGATCAACCTTTTTACTCCTTGCTTCTTTTCATATTTTATTGTCTCACTTGCTACAAGAAAGCTAACCTTTTCACTCAAAATAAGATTGTCTCAAATATTCTCTCGTTGCATTTACATTAACTCAAGGGTTTTGAGAACTATCTTACATATTACATCGCCTATTTTGTTTCGTTATCAGTCCTTGAGTTGTGAATTGTGATGCATCTGATTTTGTCTGTGTACAGCTGAATGCTTCCTGATATTTTGTGCATGCATTATATCCCCTTTTTCATTTTTGGGGGTGTAATGTGTTTTTTTTTTTTCATTTTTTATTTTGGGGGTGTGGAGTATCCAATGGTTGGCCTAACGCATGGGCCTCGGTGATAGATAGCCTCCTATGCTTTCTATCTCCCATCCATTGTAAAAGCTGCCCTGGATGTGTTTAAGGACTCTCATCTTCTAGGCTACTTGGAATTTAACGAAGTGAGTATGTTTTTTTTGGGGGAAAAATCATTTTTTTGTCGCCATTTTGCATTAAAAAAATTTGCACTCAAAAGTAATGTACTTTGAAACTGAAAAGAGTGAATGGACACAAATCTCTCAATATGTGGCATAGTCAATAGTACTTGGATCATGGATCGATTTGCTATGTGTTACAGTAATGGGTACGTGGTATAGTACATTTTTTGATATGTAGTATAATGAGGGTAGGCTTAGTTGGTATGTTGTTTTGGGTTGTGATTCATTTTCTATAGGATCACTTTCTCTATTATTTGAGATTAAATATAATTATACCTTCATATGCACGTAATTAATTAGTATTTATTTTTGGGTTTGATTTATAATTTGGGGTCAAGTTTGGGTCATACAAACCCAGTACGTGGGATATTGATATTCTATGGTCCTAGTCCCTTGCATTCATATTTCTCGTAACCTCTTTGGCAAATTCAATGCCATTAGGGAAGGTGATTGTCTTTATTAGCCTATTTAAGCTAATGTGCATACAAATAAACCTTTGCAAAGAAGTACAAAAATTTTCAAGAAGGTGAGGTATCCCCATCGGACACGGGTCGGACACTGATACTTCTTTGACACACTTGGACACATGTTGGATGCTCTTTTAACCGTCTCCATGATTAAAAAATAAAACCATAATTTTGGACACGCGCCGAATACTCCTTTAGTCAAGTGTAGGACACTTCTTAGGTCTTATCTATGACTAAAAAGAAACTTGTGTCGACATATAATAAACAAACTTGAAAACTTTGACAAATGACTATCTTATACCACAATATATAATGATCTAGATCAATTATGTTAAGATTTACGTAATATAAAATTGTAAAAGTTCATAAAAGTTTTATTTGAGAAATGGACTTGAGAAAATGCAAGCAATCATGATAATTGCTCGTGTCTCTATATTTTGTCTATGAAAAATTAGTGATCATTATGATCCATTATTCTAAAACATCACACTAGAGCACTTGACATAAAATTTAGTTATCATATAGTATTGATTCCCTTATATACTGTTTATTACTATAACTATACTATATGTAGTGTACTGCGTTTTGGACGTGTGTGTATCTTACTTTTTGGAGAAATGTTGTGGCCACATGTATGTATCATGTTGTGTCGTATCCGTGTCTGTGTCTGTGCTATGGATTCTAGTCCTTTGATGTACTGCAATGCCTCCTTATTCAGTGAAATTTATGAGAACATCAAAATCTAATTCTACTATGATTGAATTCTACTATGATTGAACTGTGTACCTTTGGTGTGGTTAGATTGTTAGCTTTTCTGGTTGCACATGACTTTGTTTCAAGGGGAGAGCAATTGATGTTGGATAGTTGTGCAAAATTAAATCCGGTATTGTTTAGGGACTGTGAACAATAACAAGGCTATGAACAATGAAGTGAATAGTAAGTTTGACTAAGAATCACTCCCTGGGTTAGAATTATATCACATAACTCAAAAAACATATAATTGCTAAATTTTTTTGAAAATCTCTTTATTCTATTATTAAAAACTTCATTAACTATATATAAAGCTCTAAATATTCTTAATCCTAAAATATTAGAATTCTAAAGTCTCTAGGACTCCAAAAACTAATATAACTAGGACTAAATTTTAGAATATCCAACACTAGAATTTGACCCAAAAGGTGATCCATGGGATTATGGCCCGTTCCAGCAAATTTGGAAATTTCAAAATACCATCGAGCCTAAAAAAATGAACAAAAAGACACCTAAATTATTGAATACCTGCAAACTAAGTTAATGTAATTAAAAATAAGACTCAAATAAAACTATGCAACTAAAGTTTCATATGAGACTTTGGGCTTGTGTTGGAGCTAGTTTTTTTTGGTGAAAAGTTGCAATTTGAAAAGCTTTGCAAAAAGGTCAAAAGTTAAAAAAATTCCCTAAAATCGTTTGGAGTGTTCTTTAAAATGTTGAAAAAATTCGTTTAGAGTGACTTTTTAGTTTTTTTGTCTTTTTGTGTCAAAATAAAAAAATATTTACATGAATGTATAGATCATGTATAATAGTTTCCAAAATATGAATTTTTTTTACGTCAATAATAATATTTTATGAATATAATAAACAAAAAAATTATGTGGGACCTGCGACAAACTCCAAATAGTCTAAAGAAATGTCCATAAAATCAGCTTCTTGAATCAACCTAAATAAGTGCTTTAGGTCCAAAAAGCTACTGCATAAGCTGGTGCAAAAGCCAAGGTCTAGACGGACTTTGCTTATTTTACTTCAAAGCCTACAAAATCAACCTATTTCAGCCAGCTCCAAACAGACCATTTATCTTGGTGATTAGCCAAATTTCATAGTTCGTCGTGCCTTTGAATTTGTCTCGTCTTGATCATCTTAATAACTACATTATTCTCCCATAGTTGGAGGAAACTCGACCTCTTAAGTATAACATCCCAAAAGTTTTGAACTTGCATATGTAGATGTTTGTGAGAAGTTTTGAGATGACGCCTTCTTTTCTTCTTGAATTGGGTAAAAAGAGAAATCTTTTGAGATTGATTTCTCGATTGTGACAACGAAATTTTGTAGAATAACAAACTCAATTGCTGGAGCAAAGTAGAAAGAAAGAACTTCTTTGAACTGACGTTGAAAATGAAGCCTAATTGTGGGCCTTCCATTGTAGCCTTTTCTTCTTTTTGTTCATTTAAACTTGTAGTTATAGTTTTTGATTCCATCTTCCACCTCTTTGTTTATGGTGATATCTTTTTTTGTTGTAGCCTTGATATTCTCTTGAGCACTATTAGAATATGGTAGCATTTGTGGCTCTTTATGCTTTATTTAGATTCTTGATGGATGCAAAATAATCAAGCACTTGAGGCACCAATGTTACGAATTGAAATTCATCGATGGGATGAATTTCATTAGACAACTCTTTTGGCACTATTTCGGGGCACTCAGACATTAACTTTGTTTTGTCTGAAAGCAAATTAATTCAGTACTAGTTGCTGGTTTTTCATCCTCTTAGGCTGCATAGAATAAATACTGGGTATTCATTTTTTACCTTAGCCTTTGGACAAGTAAGTAGCGGAATTGCTTTGGATTGTGTAGGTTCTACTTGATCTACTTCAACTTGAATTATCAGATCACTTGTTGCTTTGGGCTGCCTTTGATGGTCCTTCTCTTGTTGCACATCTGACATCGCACCACCATTGGGTTGAGTGGTTCGACCTTCTAAATCACTTAATCGAATTGAGATATTGAGTTGCTCTCAAATTCGAAAAAGAATCTCATCTCATTGTCCATCTGTCAATCGCCCACGAAACAATCTTCTCAAATGTGTAGACATGTTCGATCCTCGCCCTTTGATACCAAAACTGATGTAGGACAACGGTGCAAAATCAAATATGGTACTATTTGGGTCTGTGAAGTGTGAACAGTGACGTAAATAGTAAATTTGACTAGGAATCATTCACAGAGTTCCTTAGGCATCACACATAGGGTTACTTAGGCATCACACAGAGAATTTTTTTTGGAATATTTTTTTCTATTATATTATTGAAAACATCACTAACTATATATAGAGCTATAAGTATTCTTAATCATAAAAATTAGGATTTCAAAGTCTTTACGACTCCAGAAACTTTAAAAACTAACACATACTAGAGTTAGGACTCTAAATTCTAGAACATCCAACATTAGAATTTGACCCAAAAGGTGACCCACGGGTCAGACCATGACCGGTTCTAGCAAATCTAAAAATATGAAAAAAGACACATAAGTGACTAAATTCCAACAAACTAACTGAAGGTTCTTTCCAAAAACATATTTTTGGATACTTTTTTTTGAGATACAATCCAAACACACCCTAACATTTTCATTCGTTTCCTTGAATTCAATTTTTTAGTTTCCTTACAAACATTTCTAGTGGACACTATAAATTGTGCTTGGTCTTGGAGCAAGATTCTTCAACTCAGGAATTGAGTGAGTGGTTCATTAAATAGCAGGTAGATGGTAAGGATACTACTCTCTGGTTTGACTTCTTGTTGGCAATAGGTTTTATTATGTCAGCTCTGCCTACATATCATATTAGAGTTGCCTAGAAATTCTGCCGCATTGTTGATGGAAACCAATGGAATTGGCTACATTTCAGTTCAAGAAGGGAGAGAGGCTCATGGTTGCCTTCTTCCATTGGTGACTTAAACACAATCTGCCTGGGAGGCTGTTAGAAACTCCCAAAATCCGAATTGTTTATTTTGTAGGTTCCAAATTGAAACACATGATTACCTCTTCTTTAACTGCCTCTTTATGTTTCAGGTCTGGCGGGTCTGTCTTAGATAAGAGTGGTATTCAGTGGCATCAGAGATCTTGGGAAGAAACTGCTACTTAGGTTATGTAGAAGTTCAAATGTAGTACCATGGCGGTTTTGATTTCGTTCTCTCTTTCAATTACTCCTTCGAATGAGGGCAATCTGGTGAGAATGCTCCCCTTCCTTGTTTTGCTGTACTTTGTTTGATGTCTTGGCATGTGTTGCTGGCCTGGTGTTCTTATGTATATGTCCTCCTGTATATTCCCTCCTTTTTGATCCGTATTTTTCTACTTTACCAATCTGGAAAATCCCACAATTCAGCAAAATTTTAACGTAATGATTTTCATGTTCTTTAGTGCCCTAGCCACCCAAATTATAATCCAAACGAAAGTGACAAACATCTGCACCACAAAATAATTTATACAAAAGCTTTCTGTAAAATAATATCTGTAATGTTAGTGAATATTTGATGTAATTGGAAAATACTGAATGAACAAAGAAAAATGCAGCCTCATTCAAATACATAACTCATGTGAAACCAATAAAACTTGTAATTAATACATATCCAGCTGACTGGAAATTCAGCAAAAACTGTGTTACCAAATGCTCAATTAAAGAACTTATAATTTTCTTCTATTTCATAGAGACTTAACCGGGTATAAATTTACTCACGCATATATATTGTATTCTGCCAAAAATTTTCCAATGGAACATGATCAACCCAATTATAGAATAAGTAGCGAACTCATAATTCCAATTAGGATCATAATCTCTGTAAAATACTCTGATTTTGAATATGAGTTGGTCTCATTTGGGCTCCTGCAAGGATATAACAGTTTCAAAGGCCCCGGCCAGTGCTTTTACATTGTTTTTCTTCTGCTCTCGAAGCTTGCTAGCAGTCTCTTCAATCACATCGTTGTATGCTGGAGACTCCTTCTTCCCTTGACCACCTTGGTGCTTTGGTACCACATTCTCCTCTGGCTTTACCTCCTTGACATTGTTTTCCCATTCTTCTATTTCCTTGGAATTCAGATTTTGGCTCTCTTCATCAACAGCTTGCTTCTCTTCCAATGTTTTTTCTCTCTCTTCTCCTACCCTCCATTCATCCTCTATTTGGGATTCACCTGTATAGCTCTCCTCTTGTTTACCATTGTTATCGTTCTCATCTTTGTTCTGGTCTTTTACTTCATGATGGTGACTGCCAGTTTCCTCATAATGTATTTTCTCTTCTGGTTCTTCCATCTGAACACTTAGAGATTCATTTTGATCTTCTGAAATAGAATAAACTTCACAAACCTCGACTTCCTCACCTTCTTGACTCTCCACTACAGATTGTACAAGACCTGCATGATCATTATCTTCAAGTTTTAATATTTCTGCCGGCATTTCAGTGTTGCTCTCATCATGTAACATCTGTTCTCCAGCTTCAGTGACCGAATCTTCTTGCTGGGATTCAAGCTTTTTTGCAGTATTGGCTATATCAGTTGAATCAAGCACATCAGGAGAACCAATACTTGGAACTTTTGTTGTCAAAGCAATACTTGGATTGATTTCCTTCTTAGTGATAGAGCTAGTCTTTTTCGCACTTGCAGGTTTTGCGTATATGGAGTGATGTTTTCCAACTTCCTTAGGTGTTTTAGACAATCTCTCTGGGTGGGGTTTTGGCAAATTGGTGGTTCTAGCTGAAAAAGACGAAGATCGGAGAGGCAAGGCCCTAGGACTGAGAGAAGGTTGTGGTTTTTGTAGTCGAATAGGTGAGGGAGGCTTGTCAAAGGATCTTCTTCTGTTGAGATTGGGTCTGGTGGTATCATTGGAGCCTTGTTTCCTGGGAAGTTGCTTAGAATTAGAAGGATCAAGGGTTGAGCTTTGGGTTGGTTTGAGATAATTTGGAATCTGTTTCTCTGAAGCAGCAGCATGCTTGTGATCAGGAGAGGTTCTAGTGGATGAGTTAGGGCTTCTTCTGCGCTGCGTGGTGTCGGTTTGACGTGGATAGGAAGGAGATATTCCCCTTTTCTCCTTTCCCTGAACAGTCTCCTTTCCTTTTGTTGCCATTGATGGCTAGGAACTCTAGAACCTGCATTCAGGTTGGATAAAGTGAATCTATGTCTATGATTTTGTGTGTGTCAGAGAGAGAGAGAGAGAGAATTCACTATTTGAACATCAAAAGAAAATCGAGCTTCCACTTAATTGGAGTGGATGGAGAGTGACACGAGCTTTGAACCCGCGACTTGAAGGTTGTGGTTCAACAACGGGGTGGTACCTATTAGGCCAACCACTATTCAAACATGGTAAAACGCACACTCACGAGCACACACACACACGTCTTTTACCATGTAGATTTATTCCCAAATAGGCGACACAAAAAATATACTTATAAAAAAAGGGAAGAATTTACCAATTTATGTAGGAGAAATTTAATTAGAAGAATCAAGGATGGTCAACTTGGTTAGATCGAGTAAGTTAAAAAGTCATCCCTTGAGCACATCAAATTAGCCCACTCCTTTCTCGTTGCATCCCCTTTTTGGAATTAACAATTCAAAATATAAAAGAACTGATCAGTTGCACAAAATTCTCGTCATTGCACAATTTCATAAAGGTTTAGTATATACAAAATTATTTTCGTTAGTCAAGCCTATTTACGTACATAGTGAACAAACAAATTACCTCCGAATTAAACTCTTTTTCATCCATCTTGATTCATGTTTCTAATTTTTTGCTGGGACTTGGATTGTGTTCATAAATCAAACGAAAGAGGTCAGAATAGGATGAATTCTACTAATTTGAAAGGGTTACACCATACAATGGCCCAATAATCTATTATCGAATAATTTTTTTTGATAAAAAATGTTATATATGGTACACGCAATTTGCTTGTAACAAGGTCTAAGAGAGAGAGAAGTTAAAAATAAATATATATTTATATTTGTAAAGGGTTTTAAGATCCGAATTCGAAACACACCACTTAAATTTTTGAACACTTATCGTCGCTTCAAATCCAACTTTGTCTAAATTGGTAGGGTAAAAGTGGAGTCTAGGTTTTGAACTTTCAAACTCCCAAAAGTTAAAGAATCGAATGTCTTATGTAGTTTAACTTGGCATGCCATCATAAGATTGTAGGATATGGCTAACTTTTAAAAAAGAATGTTATATCATGAGTGTTATCAAATACTAATCCTTCTAGATGGGCAACTCAACATTTATGTGAATAATCTTAGAAGGGAAATACTCTGCATCTCAAATTTACGATTTCAATTAAATTCTAAATGAATATAGACTCTTGAATTAGTGAGTTATACTGAAAAAAAATTATAAGACCTACTAATCCAAAGGTCTAGAGTCTATTTGGAATCTCAAATTTGAGATGTCCAGCATTGCTCCCATCAAAAAGGAGGTAAACTAATATGAGTCATTGCCTGACAGATCCTATAGTTTTTTTTTTTCAACAGTCAGGAATATTTAATCAAATTTATGCACATTTCGACTAAGTTCCTCTCCAACTTGATAAAAGATAGACTATTCACGTCAAGATTAGAGAATTTATAAAGAATAAATTTATGACCAGCTCAATGGTAGAGCCAAAAAATCATGGGCTTTTTAGGCCCCACATATAAAAAAGACCTTAAATTTTAGAGTTCAACAATGAAATATAAATCAAAGATTAAAATTTATTATAATTTAGCTTAATAAAAAAAACTCATGAAATATTAGGTCAACAAAATAAAATTTAAAATTTAGGTTAAAAAGCACAGTCCACCTCACATATACACATTTATGAAGGACGAAAAAAGGTTAACATTTCGATAAAAAAAAATATAACAAGCATTTCTCTCTCTTCCACAAATAAAAATAAATCAAACCCATTTTTTATTTCTCTGAAACTCAATTTTATTCTCATTTAAACACAAAAATACCAACTAATTAAATTGTTCATTTTCATAAATGATCCAACAAAAACTAATTAATATTAAAATAACTTTCAACAAAGTTGTAATTAGAGAAAATAAAACCCAACAAAATAGTAAGTAAACGTTGTATACGTAAAAAAGTTAAGGATCATATTAAAAAAATAATAAAATAATAAAATAATTCAATAATAAGATAACAAGGAATTATAAATGTATACTAATAGTCGATTATGTAATATCACAATTTTCATGAAAAACATATAAAACAAATAAGAAGAGCATAAAAATAGTAATGAAATAATAGATTGTATTCCAAAAAGTGTGGGTCAAGTAAGAGATGAGAGAGACAAATAAATGTATAAATCTATTTGCAAAAAATGTGTATTTAATTATGATGGTCTATGTACATTTACAATTTTTATGGATTATACTATTAAACATTTACACTCAGATAGAATAGATATTAAATAACACATATGTAATATTTAATATATATTAGATGCCTAAATTACTAAAAAAGAAAAAATTATGTGACAACATGTTGTAACATTGAACATTTTTACTATGAAAATACGTTGTAACAATCCACACATTTTTTTGAACAATTAAAAAAATGCATAAAGTATAGAATAATGCATATATTAACTTTAATCCTTGCGTGTCATCCAATAATAAATTTGTCTCACTTAATCAGTTCTATGGACGAAGATTTGACAGTGAGAGACAAGAAGTTACAATTGTTGCGAGATGCGTAGACATTTCAATTTTTTGAATGAGAACAGGCAGGGTTGGGCTGACTCTAGGGCCCGAACACTAAAATAGTTGCATAAGGGCCCTAAATTGGACCATTAAAATAGTCGCCTAGAGTCTAAAAAATTTAGAGCTCTAATTTAATTTTCAACCATTAGTTCATTTTTGTGTTCTAGTGCCCTTTTGAATGGACCAATTTAAAGATCCAATATATTTTACAAGTTTATCTAAAGTTTTATAGAAAGTTTTAAAATGTAACAATATTTTCACAAGTTTATGTAAACACCTATAAAAAATTTTAAAATATAACAAAATTTTTTAAAAAAATTTAAAAGTAACGACTTCTAGTTTTAAACAAATTTTTTTCACTATTTTTTCCTCAACTCTCACCGTTTCTAATTCTCTTGTTGTTTCTTTAAGACTTTATTCAATTCATCTGTAAGATTTTGATTTCACAATTGTACCCAATTTATTTTCTGATCCTACTCTTTCCCAAACCACTAATAATCATTAAAAAAATTATTATCTCCTTAAAATATTAAATAAGGTTACATTTAAAATGCTCACTTAATTGGGCCATCTTTGGATAAATCCTTCATGACTTGACCCTAGGAGGTTGATCCTATAACTTTCCATTAAAGATAAATGCAAGCAAAAAGATCAAAATGAGAGAGAGAGAGGAGTAACATACCTTGTATAGATCAAAATGATCAAAAGAAAGATGGGTGCATTGTGAATATGAAGAAGGAAGCAAAAGAAAGAGTTGGGTACAAAAGGAATATATTTGACGGTTTGGTTGGTTAATAGTTAAAATTAGCGCAAATTATGCCCAACCAAAGGTGGCAATGGTTGTGGGAGGCTGGCTATAAATAGCTAGTTACTCTTGCACCATTTTCAACTCTTTTTGAGGTGTAGAGTTTTTTTCTCGAGAAAAATTCTCACCCTTCAATGTCATAATTAGGTCGATCAGGCCAAATCATGAGTGCATAGAAAATCGGAAATGTATATACCAAAATATACATTGAAAAAATTTAAATCCTTTTCTTTTGGATTGAAATCTTTTNTGCATAGAAAATCGGAAATGTATATACCAAAATATACATTGAAAAAATTTAAATCCTTTTCTTTTGGATTGAAATCTTTTACGATAATTTTTTTATTTTCATCAATGATGTGTTAGTAGGGGCCACTTATATCTAACGGGTCTTACTTGTGATCTACCAATAAAAAAATTGACAGTAGATTGGAAGAGATTGATTAAATGCTCACCTCAATATGGTCATCATCCCGCACAAAACTCTACTTTCCTCCCCAAAGGAGGGCAGGACTTTGTCTTTTTTTTATTTATTTATTCGAATAAACTCTCTCAAGGGACATTACCTGCTAGCCTACCCAAAAAGAGAGAGAACAATAGGAAAAGAACATCTATTAGCAAAGTTAGTTGACACTAGAGTAATACTATTGGGACATAATGTGAGGTTTTTTTTTTTCATTTGAATAATATCTATCCCAAACCTTTTAAATTCTCTCATATAAAACTATTTAGTGTACCCATTCTAATGAAGCCGAGTATAAAATTGAGTGAAATTAGTAATTTTATATTAGAGAGTTTAATTGGACAAAGATAGGTATTTGACCAAATTTGAATAATGTGTGGCTTGAGTTGAGTATACATAGCTTACATCGATTAGATTGTTATTTATAAATGAATATAATTTTGTTACCACATAATCCCTATTAGGATGATGAACAATATCCCAAATAGTTTAGGTCATATGCCCATCTCTATCTCTCTATTCCAGTAGTTTTTATAAAAATTTAAACTTTTAAGGTTTGACTTAACGATTTATGTAAATGTTGAGAGATTTTTGTTGAAAAATTATCTTACTGAGAGTGTGCGATATGAATCGGCCCCTACACACTGGACTCAAACGTGAATGACCCGAGGGAAGGAGGTGAACAGAAATTCTCACTCGACTATGGAATTTAATGCTCAATCCAGAACTTAATTCTACCAATTGATTAATTATGTCAATTAAAGCGCAATTTCCTCAAATTAATACAACCCAATCTACCAATTGAAATTATCCAATAAAAGCGGCCAACACCATAAAGCAATTGACTAGCATATAATCAATCAAGCATATGAGGAAACAAAAAATTGCAAGCATGGAAGAAAATAATGGTAGGAAAGCAAACAACCACAATATGAACAATTTTACGTGGAAATTCTTATTGGAAACAAGAAAAATCATGACATGTTAGATTATTATATGAAATTCTTATACTTCAATCAGTACCATGGTTATATGTTTTCTCCCTTAAATATTTGGCCCTGGAATCCACCATGAACTCTTGACGACTATTTTCACTAAGAGATGAAATGAACTCCACAATCCATCCTTCGGAATCCTCCTATTCACGCTTGTAGTCATCCTTGATCCTTT